GAAAACTTTCATTGTTGTAATATTCATTAAAACTTTCAAACATTTTACAATGTACTTAAAAATAAAAATATGAAAAATGTATTTTACATTTCTAGAACAAAATGTTAAATGGTCACTGAAAAATAWTAGGTTATTTTTGAACAGTTTTAGAAAAAAACAATAAAGAAAAACTCATAATATAATTAATATATACAAAAGAACACAATTGTTTAGAATTTTTGGTTTTTAAATCTAATAAAAAAAATGGGTTCCTAATCATTGTTGTTATTGTTGTTCAACGATGTTATTTTACCACAAGCTGATTCTTCATGTTTATACAAGTACGACTTGAGAGCAAACGCTTTGTTGCATTTTTGACAAACATGTGGTTTTTCTGTAGAATGAGTTTGTAGATGAGCTCGCAAGTTTGATTTATCTGCAAATGCTTTACGACATTTTTCGCACTCGTAAGGCTTTTCGCCTGAAAAATTGAATKTAAAATAAACACGGTTTTACCACATTACTCAGTTGAGTCGATAGATAAAAAGTTGTGAAGCCCATCTCCCCATAGGAAAATAGCTGGATAAGTTTTAAAAATTGACTGATTATTTATATAAATTTTTTTTATTTCTGAAAGAGCAGCAGAAATATATAATTGTCATGGCTACGTCTAAATTTGTTAATCGCATTCCATTATAAAGGCATATAGAGGAGTATTTGAAAMACTTTGCTTCACATCATCTCTAACACAGACATTTTATACTTTGTTTGAGTATAATAAAATATAATAAGAAACAATTGCGTTTAATTTATAACTTAATTTTTCTGTTGGAAATTATTATTATTAGGGCTAAAATCTAAATTAAATATTGTACCTCTGTCAACAATTTGCGATTTATCAGTGTGTGCTTACCTGTGTGGGTGCGGATGTGCCCTTGCAACAACCATGGTCTAGAAAAGCATTTACCACATATACCACATTTACACGACTGKCTGTGTGTTCGCATGTGCATCGAAAAGGCGGGTATCGACACGTAAACCTGCACAGAAGTAAACAAAAAATATAAAATAAGCTGAACAGTGGCAATAATAATCATAGCATCAAGAATGTTATAGTAGGTATGGTTTGATATTTTATCATAACAGGTTAGTTGTGAATTAAAATATGTACCTAGTTTTAGTCAGAGGTAAGGACAAGGATTGTAATATAGTTGTAAGGCATATTCTACTGCCCTGAAAGTGGTTATATAAAAWAATATTATATTTTATAGTCACAAATTGAAGATGGAAAATATTAAACATAAATATTTTATTTTTTTTACCAATTCGGTAGTCATTTGAAAAACAATATAATATAAAGTGAAAATAGATATCTCAAAATTAACGTAATTATATATTTTAATTTTATGAATGTTCTAAGTGTATRATTATATTATAATATCATATATTGTATAGTATATTATCATTAAATAATACATAATATGCTCTAAAAAATTGTTAAATTAAGAAATTATAATATATTATATCCTAAAAATAGATTTTAAAAAAATCACAATACGCAACCATATGCACATTGAACTTTTGATTTTGRGAAGTTGAATCTAATTTCTTGTTTTCGTTTAAATAATCTAATACCCCACAAAAAACAAAAGTAACATGACGTAACAACTTCAGAGCACTAATTATAATTTATAACCATTTAAAATATTGTGATAAATTACGAGGATGGCCAAACCGCAACTCGTGTTTTGTCGTAAAATATTTTTACTGACGTAATAATTGATATTATATTGATTTGTACGAGGACAAAACTGTCGCATACAAAACTTAATCTGACATTATTCTACGTCATTATATTGTTTCTATATCTTTACACATTTTATTATACTTGATATCTAATCTTATTTACGATAATATTTAAAAATCTTTGTTTTCTGCTCTTTGCACCACAGAGTAATATTAGTTATAATATAAAGTTACTCATATCCATTGAACTTACAAAATTGTTCATTACAGTATTGTGCGGTTCGCGACTCTCACTTTTCGCTAGACAATCCCCTGATACGAAAAGTAATTCGACAATATTATTATTATGATGATGATGATCTCACCTTGTCGCAGTGGGGACAGTGTCTGGCTTTGGTGTCTGCCARCGACCTGTGCGTCTGCCGATGCCGGGCCAAGTTGCTCGACGTGCTGTAACATTTCCCGCAATCCGGACACTGACGTTCCTTGTTGTTGGTCGTCTTCTTCGCACTCTGTTCCGTACTTATCGTGTCATCATCGTCGTCGCCATCGTTTTTCTACAATTGCACAAGATGGTGGTCAAAACTTTTTCGGGAAGTTAAAGACACGCGCTCAAAAGAATTGTTCGACCGTCATCAGAACATCCGAATTGTCGAAAAATTGAGAAAGTGTAAACATGTGAATTTAATTTAGTGCCATGCGTTATGCATTGTGTTACTAGACTTCTGAAAATCTAATCTGAGTGGTCAAAATGGCGAAACAATTAACCGCGAATATAATGATAATGAAAATAAAAAAGCAAATTTTAAGATAAGCAACTATGCATAATAACTGCAAATTTTTTATAGTTTCTATTTTGAATACTATACATTTTAATAAAGTACTTGGATAAACTTCAATACATAAAACTATAAGTAGTATAATATTACAAATTTTACCTATCGTAAATGGTAGGTATTTATTTTGTACACTAAAATACTAAATATTTATTTAATAATGTAATATCTTCAATAGTGTACATATTATTTTCAATCGGAGGGATAAAATATACCAAGAGGGAGATTTTTGCTTTAATTCCGTTCTAATATGGGATTGATGGTAAGCCCCCTCCCCCTAAAAAAAAATTCCAAATGCTATTTGTGCCTATCGGATACAGGTGATTGTATTTTTTTTATTAATTATAATTAATTATAATCAGAGCCGTGTCGTTAAGATTTGGCGCGCAGGGCAAAATTAAAAATATTCGCCCTCTTAAAGTTTAAAATATTATAAAAAAAATGTTTGGCACCTCTTTAAACGACGCGCTCAGGGCGTATGCCCCTAGGCCCTCGGCACGGCTCTGATTAAAATTGTTTAAGAGTATACCATAAGTCTTTATTTAAAAAAGTGTATACACTTGGTTGAAAAATAAGTAAAAACTACCTACCTAATCAAAAATAGTATAGGGGATTGCTAAAGGTCAGTTATTTCAACTAAAATGTACCAATCTTATGTAAATTATACCAATGGACCATAAGTGATGCGATTACTCTTTTGAAAAGTGATTTGAATTTAATATCATCTCTATTCAAGAAAGGTTATTCGGCAGTCTACTTTTTTTTTAATGTTGTCTTGAACTAGCTAAACTCATCCTTTACCTAAAATGTATTTAAATAGGTACCTATCTTAAAATTTATTCTGACCGATCTCAAGTAGATCCCAGATCAGGTTTTCAGAAGTCTAATTAGCGCGTAATCAGGTACATTGGTAAGATTGAAAATTTACAAGAAATACCTACAAATGAGCATATTATTATTACATTGTTTATCGTTCACACTCGCAACAAAAGTGGTGACTTGTACGTGCGCGTGCACGATCCCTATGCTTATATTTTCTTTTACACTACGGTCATACCCACTATACATTATGATCATTTATCACGCACACATTTACAAGACAAGACCCACATGCGTACAATTCGAAAACTGTGCGTTTGCAATCCCCCATAGTATCGTAGGTACAATGTTAGGAGGAATGAAACAAACTCAGTGACCATAATGACGTTTTCTAGTTTTTTTTTTTTTTTTTACGTTTAAGGACTACCAAGATGGGCGATGTACACAAAACAAATAAAATTATGGTAAGTAAAAAATGCACTTATTATTTTATGACCAGTATTACGATTTCATGCAAATATGGCGTGCACGGTGATGCATAAAGCTCTTACCTTAATGACCTTTTCGTAGGCACTAGGACCGTCGATGATCGCGCCCGTGTGGTGTCTGAAGTATACGATGCTGACTTCGGCCAACTGCGTCAGGTTGTACAGCTCGTCTCCGACCGACGACTGCTGAGCRTCGACGATGTGTTCGTAGGAGTGTGGCATTTCTGTGGGGGAAAAAAGGGCGATTGTTCGATTACCATTAGCCGACCACGACAACATTGTAATAAAATGAACGCGATCGATAAAAATAAYARATATTTGATATTATTATAAAAACAACGATCGGGATTGAATCAGCAGCGCGCGGCGGCGAAAGAGATGTATCCGCAATGCGRCCGACTAGCCGAGTGGCGACAACAATGTGGTTGCTGAATTTTATGGCGATACACCGCCCAGTCCTACACGTCTTCAACRCTTGACAGTTGATGTTCGGCGATAATATTTTGGATGTTGTTATTTTTAAACTCGGTATCGTCGACAATTAAAAATAAYGTGACATTTGAATCTAATAATTATAATAATAACATTAACCGCGATCCATTGATAAGCACGGTGGTTTTTATCTTACCGTTTGGAGTTCAATAATAATAATAACTATGTTTTTCATTCATCGAAGGAACGCACGGACTGTGCACTGTGCAGTAATTACCTGCTATTTTGTTGGCAGATTGTAAGTTTTAATAAATAATAATAATATTAAATAWTGATATTTCGTCCTTCGAAGGCGTCTACCTTCACTCACCGACCGCCCAGCAGTTGGTACTCGGAATCAACGAGGACAATAATAGATATCGYCTTATCTGTATATAATTGTACATTAGTACCCGTGTTCTGTGTAATACGCACACACAATGTAAAATAATTGTGCAAAAGTGTTTATTTTTAGATTGCTGGGATGCGGACGACAGATAATTATTTATTATGAWCGATAACAAGTGTCCACGTGAAAATGCACTAGATACAAGCAATATCAATAAAAATAAATCAAATTTTTTGAATTATCAACAGACATAGTCGCATAAATCTATAAAGTATCAGCAGTATAAGCTAGTGGACATTGGACAGCGCCTACCACACCACTCTCTGCCKACAGTGTTCAACTGTTCAAGGGAATGCGATAGAGTGAGCAAGAAACCATCGTAACGTCCCTGTCGCGTAGGATATTACTCTTTCTCTCTTGATTCCATTAGTTTCTAGTTATATTCCCAAACGCCACAGWTYATCTATCTCGGTAATCTCGTTCATCAGGGTCTCTCTCTCCTCAMARTGAACAGTCTAAACGCTGTCACTAGTTTATAGGTCTCTGCCGTATAATGCCAACAGGTAACAATATACRGTGCCAGATTTAGGCGAATACCTAACTAATGGCGAATCACCTGATTACAATAATGTTTGAAAAAGCCTTAAAAATCGCAATTCATAAATTCCCATCAAAGATACACACATACACTGTGAAAAATATATATTATGATTTATGATCATCTTATTACCGGCCGGTCCCATGTTGCGTGACAGACACACCATACACGGTACACGCTCGGTACGATGTGTATSAGACCGGTACAGCGTTTTAACTCAATACAAACACCGACAAGGCGACAACCCTTTTTTGTGAAAACTCAGTGCTTAGGAAAAACCGGTCTATAAATATAAAATATAACGAGAAAAAAACGCAATAGACATTCTGCGTGACGTTCCTCGAAAGAGTTTTTCTCTAAGACAATATTACAGGGTACACGTCATCGTATACTACAAGGATTGAATAAATAACGAAAATAATATTTTAAGTTTATCACTCATTATGGTTGGTTAGTAGTTGTTGGTGTGTAGCTGTTATTTATTAACACGGGCTGTTTATATTTGTATTAATATTTACGCTAAAAATCATAAATTAGTCCTGACAAAATTATGTATATATTAATTAATATTGAACCAGGTCGAAATCAMATGGAATGTTTTTAATTGGTACGCATGTAAATTAGARTTAACAATATTACAATATCAATTAGAAATATGTACAGCTATCTAATAATAATATAGTAAAATAATAAAAATATGTGAAAATGTATAGAAAGTTATCAAGATGAAACCATTTAAACTCGTCCTTGTCGTGTCCAATCGACAAAACGATAAAATAAATAAATAAAATAGACAATAAAGGTCCACTTCATCGGTTAAGACAATAAGTTTTATGGAAAAAAACTGTAAAAAAAATTCCAAAATATATGTAAGATCTCAACCAAATATAAAAGTACAAATTTATTTTTTTAAATTTATTTGCTATTTTTCAAGTAAAAACTTTAAATATACTGCAGTTTAACCGAAACAGATGGACGACTTACATTTTCGAAAATGTCGTATAAGGTATAAGATATTTAAATCATGGCCCATGAGGGTCCATAAAAAATTGTATGCGATCCATTATCAAACATATTATAGTTCTAAAGTCGCCAAATATTTCAAGTATTCGCAAAATAAGATAAGGGATAATGAACAACGCAATTTTTTTATAACTGCTTGAAAACCGATTATGCAGATGGGACTTTTGATAAAACTGCTCCAGGTATCTTATATAGTTGAATGTGTTGCTTGGCAAGCCAACGCTACCTGAGAAGTGGACTAAAATAAGAAACCGATTGGTTTCCAAATCGTTGACCTTATCGGTGAAAACTCGCGTTATTATACCGTCCACAAATACTTTATGATGCATCAATCTCGCTGCATATAGTGCATATACAGACAAGAGATTATGTAATATAATATATACAGAGTGATCTGWTTMATCTATATCGCGAATCATCTGTGGAAATATACGAATCAACAAGTCATTTTTTGAGGTAAAAATAATTTATTGATTGTTGATAAATTGTAAGTTCTAAACAAAATTTTTAGATAGGAAAAAAAGTGAAAAATATATATACTGGAATCGCGCCTTTAAAGATCATCTACAAGTGTCCATCTGCAAACATGCATGTACCAAGATTCTTACAGCAGYTTAAAAGTATTGAAAATATATTGRAAAATTGTTATTTTACAAGCGCTTGAAGTTTAAATAATAATATCATCCTTCAATCCTTGTCTATTTCATTCTGAACCGTTTTTCGTATACCTAACTCACTCGTTCAATTCGTATACGCATCCGCAATTCGCATATTATTACGATTATAATACAGTGTCACAGTGACCTCTTTTTTCAATAACGAGATGTACCCAAGGTGCGCAGTAGAAGCGAATTTTCTGTTTTTATTTTAACTAGAAATTTGTTGAACTTCTGTTTCAGCCATAATTATTATGGGTGATTGCTGGGTGGAGAGGTAACACCACACACACAGGATCATACTGTATACTTTGCATCGTTTGCGATGCGCTGTGTCGCTGAATATACAATAATATTATGTACTATTATACGACCGTCGCACGTGGACGACTAATATACATATTATATTATATGTGTATGGTTCATGTGAGTACTGAGTATATATAAATATACTATGTATAAATATATACATTACCCTATAGTCTATATATATTTATACACGCACACATATACACAATCTTCGGAGGACATATGGCTCGGCGCCGCAGCGTAAATGTGTGCCGCCGCAGGTGACATTTTCTTCCCTACCGCTCTGGATCTCGTCCGCACTTCAATTTATATATTATGCGATTTATTTTTAAAACAATCGCCGACTTGCAAGCGGGGCCACGGGCTGTAAGTCGTCCGTCGTCGTCATTTATATTATTATCATAAACGTTACATAATAATATATAATATACTATGTTCGTTTCAATGACGAAATAAAATACAGAAAAACGAGACTAAGCAAATTACGTTATAGTTGCACTATAGAATTTGATCAATTTCGGTAAGCTCCCAGTGAAATATTGAACCGAATAAATATATTTCAGAGTTGATAAGCCAAAACTATAAATTTAAATTCATCGACATGTTGACATAATAATATGCTAATAATATGCTATGAAAGGCATCATCGCAATAACGTTTGAAGTAAGTGAAGAATCGATACGAGACAGTACTCTTTTTGCAATCCATTGCATGATTTTGAACGTAAAAAAGGCATCATCACAATTCCCAATTTTTATGTCACTCAGACAAATTTAACAAATTTTAAAAATCATAAAATTATAATAGATTAGATACCTAATATTAATCATTTATTATAATTTTCAACAGCTCCCCCTCCCCTATTATCTAAATATGTATACGTATATTTATAACATAAAAGTATGTTTAAAAGTTTCCAAATATCATAATATCCCAACAACTCGCACGTAAATAAAGAAATGAAACATGCTGGTTGAATCACTATATACCTACTTCTAAAATATTTTATTATTTTTAATATAAACGTTCAACGACAATAATATAAATTGATACCATTATAAGTATTATATAATACACCAATCATACGTCATTTTTATACAAAATTACTATAAATAAGGAAAAATATATACAGTGGCCAATTACTTTATCAAAAAAGGTTTTTTTTTTAAATTTAATACTTACGTACTTGTAGGACGAAGGACTTAATAGGCGAGAGGAGAGGTCAGCCCATAAAGTTTTTTCCGAATTTCATAATATTCAACTACATACAACTTTGACTAAAACATATGCACATGAGCTTAGACGATATTTACTATAATATTAAATACTTACGTACATAATAATATACGTGTACCTACATTCACGTCGTTCACTCTGTATGGGGTCAACACTATGCGGTTGAGAAAAGAAGGTACAAGACAACGACGCGTGTGGTAGCGTCTCGGTCGCTAGAGATCGAAAAACTACAAACGTACAAAATTTTGCGTAATAAGTAGGTATATAAATATACCTTATGCCTTATGGTGAGCTGCGTAGTGGCCAGGGAGAGCGATTTACCGGAAATCGGTGAAAATTGAAAAGTCAAGAATAATAACAACACAGTAATACGGGTTGCCATAAGCGCAGATGTTAAAATTTCGTTTTTACTGACGTTATAGTATCTTATTCTTATACAATAGCTGTATAACAAATGCATGACAGCTAACATTATTCTTTAAACAGGACATCAATTGCAATGCCACAGACAGATCTGTTTTTTTGTGGGGAGGGGAGTGGGGAACTGGAATTTTTTCACAGATTTTTTTTCTGCAAGAATAA